TACCTCCCTACTCACCCCCCCCCAAAAAAAATCCCATCTCAGGTGCAAGGTCCTGGTCAGCTGGGCGATGACGTAGGCAATGCATCACGTGACATCATGCGTGTACGCTACCGGCTGTTACCGTATTTGTACCTACTGTTCCACCAGTCACACACACAGGGAGGCACAGTCGTCAGACCTCTGCATCACGAGTGAGTGCTGTGACGAGGGTTTCTGTTTGGTTGAGAGTTAAAGTAAAAAATTCTTAGTCAAGAGTTACTTGTTGTTTCCATCTTTAGGTGATCCTAAAATTAAAACCAAAGAGTCCCTTTGGGCTGATCGTCAGTCAACTAAACAACCAATCAATCAGCCAATCAATCATTCAGGGTATCAATTATTTATCTAATCTGTCGTTGAATCCAAGAATAAATGGATGAGTTAACCATTAGGCACAAGACTTTTTTTCATTTATATCTATGATGACCACCAATCACCCGAAAAAGGGGGGGAAAAGAAAGAAAAGAAACACCAACCCCTTGACTTACTTCCCAGATTCCCGACTGACCAGCGCGCCCTGGCGGTGGATTCTCAGTTCCTGTGGGGGTCCTGTCTGCTTATCTCCCCTATCCTGGAGAAGGTAAGTGAGAATGGAATTGTTCTAAGCCCAAAATTTAATTTACCCCCCCCCCCAAACAATTGCAGTTTAGGTTGATAAAATAGAAGTTCTTTCGAAAATGCTATGATGATATGAGCAGGTGCTATTTATGTGCAAGATACCTTGTATGTTACACTTTCAAAATAATACCGGACCAAACCCGAGATAAGATAAGATAAGATCTGTGGTATAGACTGCATGTGTTCATGAAATACCTATCTTATATCTCTGATCTGATCTTGTGCCATTGTTTTCCTGTTCCTCATAGGGCCAGACGAGTTTGACGTATTACCTACCGGCTGGGAAATGGTACGATTACTACTCGGTGAGTACACGACATTATAGACAGGGAAATAATACCAATATAATATGTCGTTACAGGGGAATGGTACGATTACTACACGTTGAGTACACGACATTATAAACAGGGAAATAGTACCAATATATTTTGTCGTTACAGGAAAATAGTACCAATATGTGTCGTTACAGTACCAATAATATAATGTTATTTCTTGGAAATAGCACCAATATATTATGTCGTTACAGGGAAATAAGCCTAGTACCATTATATGTCGTTACAGGGATATAATACCAATAATATAATGACGTTTCAGGGAAAAAGTACCAACACGTGTCGTTACAATACCAATAATATGGTCGCTTTTAAGCACCAGGGGGCTATCACGAAAAATGCTGTTTTGAGAAAATCGAAAGGGAAATTTTTTTTATCCTTGTTCGGTTTCTTTAAAACACAAGGAAGGTTTTCTCTATAACCAAACAAATATACTCACCAGTGAAACCAAACTTCTCTTATAGGTAGGAAAATGCCCACTTTTGGTGTAGGTCAAGATTTCTGGCAACGCCCGAAACCTGGGTTAGCCCCCTTGTCCTTTAAAACGACCATATAATGTCGTTTCAGGGAATTAGTACCATGATATGTTGTTACAGGGGAAAAGTATCAACATATTATGTCGTTACAGGGAATAAATAATACAGGGAAGTCGAGAATGTTTCTGGGAGTTCTGCCGAAGAATAATATAGATTGCCAACCCCATACAGGTTGCTGTTGAGCTGGGATATGTACTAAATGCTATTTATTATTTTTAACTTATTGTTGGACACGCACTATATTATTCTGGTTATTCAACAACGTTGCAAGATGCACTGTTCTGAGGCCACGCTTAGAGGAAGCAGAACTTCGTTATCTGTACAGCTTTTTCGCTTATATGGGGTGCCCACTACGGTTGGGGTGGGCCCAACGGGCCGATCGCCCGACTCGTTCGCCTAAAAAACAAACGTGTTTGTTTTCAGTTTCAGGCGACTGAGTTGGGCGATCGGCTCGATCCAACCGTAGTGGGCACCCCTTATTAGGTTACTCTATCTAAAACATAACAAGTACCTTGTTATACAAATTTACACTTTTGATTGGTGTGTGTGTGTGTGTGTGTGTGTGTGTGTGTGTGTGTGTGTGTGTGTGTGTGTGTGTGTGTGTGTGTGTGTGTATTATGGTTCGAAATTTGTCTGAGTCTGGCGCTCATATGACCTTATGCAGTTGCAAGCGAAGTCAAACTTAACTAAAACTAAAACTGAGTCTGGACTGTCTGCAGCACCGTGGGGTGTCCCTTATAGAGGGTGCTGACCAGACACAGGGTGTGAACGACACCAGTATGCCAGCGCTACATGTGAGAGGAGGATGTGTGCTGGTAGAGCAGGGCTACGCTAACAACACACACTTCAGGTGAATCCTTTGCATTGTTGTTGTTGTTGTTGTTGTTGTTGTTGTTGTTGTTGTTGTTGTTGTTGCTGTTGCTGTTGCTGATGGTGATGGTGGTGATAGAGCAGGGGTAGGCTAACAACACACACTTAAGGTGAATCCTTTGTTGTTGTTGTTGTTGTTGTTGTTGTTGTTGTTGTTGCTGTTGTTGTTGTTGCTGTTGTTTTTGTTGTTGTGACGGTGATGGTGGTGGTGGTGGTTATGGTCGTTGTTGGCTGTTGGCCGTTGTTGTTGTTGTTGTTGTTGTTGTTGTTGTTGTTGTTGTTGTTGTTGTTGTTCTTCTTCTTCTTCTTCTTCTTCTTCTTCTTCTTCTTCTTCTTCTTCTTCTTCTTCTTCTTCTTCTTCTTCTTCTTCTTCTTTTC